AACAGTAAGCCTTCAAACCCTAAGGAAGCCATAGGGGACGTCTGAAATGTGTTCCTTGGAGGCTAGCTTTTGAGTAGTGTCTGCGCCGATTGCATTCTTTGCAACTGGTAGTGAGCTAACTGAGCTGGCAGACCAGAGCGGGAATGCCAAAACAACTTTAAACACATAAACCTTAGCGAATATAACTTACCCTAAACCCCACTAGAAACCCGAAACCCTAAACCTCAAAGAAAACTAACCCTCAAGCCCACGCATCCCGAAGCCGTAACTAATGTAGGAGCCTAAATAATTACCAATACTATTTTGGGGGTTCCTTATTATTTTGTATTGTTGAATATACCCCCCCCCAAACCCTATTCTAATCATTAAGGCCCCTGAACCCTAAACCCTTATAGTAGCCCCTATAGAACGCTTTAAGGAACCCTTAAACGGAACCCCAAAACCCTATTCCAATCATTAAGGCTCCTATATTATACTCCTCCCTAAACCTTAAACCCTAAACCCTAGACCCTCAACCCTGAACCCTAGACCCTCAACCCTAAACCCTAGACCCCAAACCCTGGACCCTAAACCCTAAAGACTATAGACCCTAAACCCTAGACCCTTAGCCCCATATACGTAGGCCGCCGTCGCTGACCTCTGGGACGAGCCGGCTCCACAAGTCCTCGCCTTTGGCAGTTCCCAGGCCCAGGGGTTTAGGGCTTTGGGTTTAGGGTTAAGGGTTTAGGATTTAGGGTTTAGGGTTTAGGGTTAAGGATTTAGGATTTAGGATTTAAGGTTTAGGGTTTGGATTTAGGGTTTAGGGTTTAGGGTTCAGGATTTAGGGTTTAGGGTCTATAGGGTTTTAGTATTCATAGGGCTTAGGTTTAGAGTACCTTCTTAAAGACTTGCATAAGGAGATCTTATCAAGGAAACCTTGAAATTGTAGTTCTTATCTTTTGGCGTTCGGGTAGGGTTTGCTTTTTCCGTAGGCTTCGGAGGTTAACGGCTTAAGGTTTCGGATTTTGCGGCTGTAGGGTTTGAGAGTTTAGAAGGGTTTAGGGTTTAGGGGTTTAGGGTTTAGGGTTTAGTATGAGTAGTGTTGCTTCAGGGTTTTTGGGTCAACCGAGACGATCAGGGCACTTAGTGAGTGAGCTGTATGTAGAGAGTTACAAGTACTAGTTGGGGGTACTACTCATGATCCGCTAGGAATCTGCTGACTGTGCCTGTTGCAAGTGTGATATCTAGCGACTAGGATATATAAAAAATGCAGGCTCCAGCACACGCGCATATGCAGAAAGAAAATGCTGCTTCCGCCGCGCAAGCCACACTCTGGGTTTTCCATAGCCAGACAGCGCCCCATGTCGCATTTATCGTGCAACCGGTGTTCCTGGGTGTTGTCGTAAAACGAGAGAACGAGTTTCTCCCAGAAGCAATCCTGACATGCAAGATGCCGAAAGCCTGCGTTTCCATAGCCCTGCATGTACCTGACTGCCAGACAGGCCTACTTCGAGCACTGCGGCCCAGGCGGATTGTTTGTCAGCGCAGCGAAAAAATCGACGCACATTTTATCATGACAGCATATGCTTTAGGCCTTCATGGCGCACTTTCCATTCCTTCAGGCACTGGTGGCAAGAATTTGGTCAGCAGGTACGGGGTTTAATATGCTGGGTCTTACGATTCACGCTTGCAGCGAGAAGTACTTCGCACGATGCCGACAACCACAACCTCACAAACAACAAGAACAGCTCGGCCTCGTCGCTATAGTACCAACCCTCAGAGGGACAGAAAGAACATCAACAAGGTGTACAAGTATCGTCAGCAGTTTCAGCTCGTACTTGACGTCCCACCCGATGGACCCCAAACCTCGAGCCCCTCACGTTTGAACTGACCCTCAAGATGCAACAAAAACAAATACAAAACTATATAGACACACACACATATGTATATATATATATATAAATATACATACGTATATATATGTTATGTTATGTTATGTTATGTTATGTTATGTTATGTTATGTTATGTTATGTTATGCTATGTCATGTCATGCCATGTCATGTCATGTCATGTCATGTCATGTCATGTCATGTCATGCCATGTCATGCCATGTCATGTTATGTTATGTTATGTTATGTTATGTTATGTTATGTTATGTTATGTTATGTTATGTTATGTTATGTTATGTTATGTTATGTTATGTTATGTTATGTTATGTTATGTTATGTATATATATATAAATACATTAATATATATATATATATAGATGTTAATGTATTTATATATATATATGTATGCATATATGTATGTATCTGTATGTGTATATATATATATATGCTCCCCCCAGAACTGCCGCGAGGTGCCGCGATATCACCACCAATCCTCCTACGTTTAGGTTTCTGGTTTACGATCCAAAATTTACGATAGATTTTGCACTTTCGAGGGGGCAGCATATGTATATCGGCAGCCGCCTTCATTCTCATTTCTTGTGACCCTTTACGCATGCACTCCGAGAGATGTACTCCGAGAGATGATGTCTCCAACGATTAAAGTCATTTCTGTCTGAATATTCGAAGCTCAAGATGGGCCCGAGTAGCCTTCACTGTAGTCTCAGGTCAAAGCCCCAGCAGTACGCATGAATGACCGTGAGCCTTGACTGACTCCTGTTCCTAATCGACAGTATTCCTCAGACTAACCCTGCCATTAGGCCTTACATTTGCCCCAATGGTGACAGTAGTCTTCTATTTCATGTTCGCCCAAAAAGGATGCCTTATAGCTTCACGTCACGTCTTAGTTCGTATGATTAAAATGCTATGTCGATTAGTAATCCCGTCATACACCCCCATATTAACTCTCTTTCGGCCTGAGGGTTAATAAAACAACATACATCAACTTGATTGGCCTCCCGATAGTAAGGGTATTGCAGTTCTGTTGGCAACCCTAATATTGGATTTCGCAAGTTGTTCCCATTGGTAACCTTTGTACTCTACTCGATACTTCCTTCAACAGCAACCCAAATAATGGCCTGCGGAGAAACCTCGACTATTGGCCTCATCAACAAGTTAATTAATCCAGGCAGCTGTGGGATCCCTAACATGAGCATTCAGTTCCCCGAAGAAAAAAGTCATGGCGTCCCTAGTACTATTTGCTGTTAATATTAATACAACTGAGCCAAAAACTGCCCCAACATTTACTTCAACGGTAGCCGTCATATTCGTGCTAAGATTAAGCTACGCAAAACGATAGCCACTAGAAACCACGATCCTTGCAATCTTCGCTCCGGCATTGCCTAAATGATGGCCCTTAGCTTTTTAGGGATGATGCCAACATTATGATCATGTCGAACTTGCCCGAATGTACATTTATGTGTGTATATACACACGCTAACCCGAAGGTTAAACCAGTACTAGATACCAACATAATGACGAGGATTGTGAACTGAGCCCTGAGTCCAAACACATTCACTAACCCCATCCGTTTCATTCGCCCTTCTGTCAATGGTGATCGTAATATTCGCCCTGGCAGCAGACCCAAAGCCATCTATAGTAGGCTGAGTACCACCCAAAATCTGACCCCGATGTTTCTCTTATGCAATTTACAACCTTAGTCAGCTAGAAAAAATCGTAGTGGTAGCTGTGATAACCCTGATTCCAGGGTCCTGTTGCGTTTTAAACCTGCAATACTAGCTTTCTATTGACCCCACAGCTGATCCGGAGAATGTCCTGCTTATCACCAAATAATGATATTGTATAGTATTAGCATCGAAAGGAACCGAATCCCAATAGTAACGGCGCTCGAGCCTTATTGGTCACACTACTCGTAACGCGCACAAACAACAAATCAAATACACACTTTCTGCTAGGAAACACTTGGTCTTGGAGTGAAACACCAATTTTTTCCTAGGAGAAAGATGGTGTTGTATCGGAAAAGCAAATTTCCCAGGGAAATTTCCTAGGAAAAAGATGGTTTTGGGCCGAAATACCAACTTTTTCCACTAGGAAAAAAGATGGTTCTGGACCGGAAAATCAGTTTGTCCTGGGAAAAAGTTGTTTTGGTGTGAAAACTATTTTTTCGAGGGAAAACATAAGTCTTTTTGGGTTGTGGCCGCAAAATTTATCAACAGATGATTTTTGTTTGTCCAGGGAAAAAGTTGCTTTTCCGGGCCAAAACCATCTTTTTCCTAGGGTAGTTTGGACTTTGGCCGTATAGTTTCCCGAAAGATGTGTTTTTTTTTATTTTTCGAGTGAAAGTTGTTTCTGATTGGCAGAGCACAGTGCTGACGTCCAACCTGAACGAGTTGTCTGGCACATTCAAATGAAAAGTGGGTTTAGTTTTGGTAGTCTGGTAGTTGGTGAGAGATACAGAAATCCGGACCTGCCGAAAAAGTTGGTTTCACACGGTATTTACGATACAAAACGAGGGTCGGTAGCTCATGGGGGGGGAGGGAGGGTTACCGTATATAGATCTAGATATAGATATCAGGAAACAGCACTGCGAACAAATTTTATGCATTGCTCATGCCTTATGCATCCTTTCGGGCTCTCTTGCTTTGAGTGCTGTGCTGAGACGTGTACAGTAGAGTTCAGGGTTTATGTCTTAGAGTTTCGGGGGAACGGTTTAGGGCTCAGGGTTTTTGTGGCAGTTTTTGAAGTGTTGATCTGCCAATAACTTTGTTACTCGGATGACTGCGTGGTTTGTAGATTCCGGTTCTGTGCGTTTTTGATGACACTCATGCTTTGGAGTTACAGAAAAACCGTGGAACGTAGTTCGCATGCTGCAAGTCCGTCAAACCCCAAGCAATACGCCCCAAGCGCTGACTCAGCCACGTGTTAATGCTGTGAGAGCGACCAAGCCGGAGAAAGTGTGACACCCAAGATCCTAAACCCTAATATAATATGACGGCTTGAAGAATTTCCAAAATCATTCCTTAGGGTTCCTTGGTCGTATATTCAAATAAAACATAGTTTACCACCCAAGGCCTCATAGGATTCCCCCTGTTTCAACCCAAGATGAGCGGCAGGTTCCGAAAGGGCTCAACGAGGAGCTCGTTGAAGAGGCTAAGGAATGCGCCCTGACAGCAATTAGGGTTCAGGGTTTAGGGTTTAGGAGTGATGGGAAAGACAGCTGGGCGAAGGATTGCCAACGGCCTGGGGTTTTTAAGGGTTTTCGAGGCATCAGGGACGTGACTTAGGGCCGTCAAGTATTTGGCAGTTTTGTTTCTGAAATTCATCCTTTTGCACAGTTTTACTTCCGGCATTGCAGCTACTGCTTTCCCGAATACAACAGCTTTTCTTGACAAAAAGAGACATAGTTGTCGGGTTCTGATGCAATCAATAGTGCATGTGTGCCGGTACAGCGAAGCCGGAAGCAACGTTGGATCTTTCTGCCAACATCTGCAAAGGCCAGAAAGACTATGCCATGACGATCGAAGAGCGGCTTGGACCAATGTCGCGACCGACTGCTATTATTACTGTTGTTCTTGCTCTGCCTACTGTGGATATACTAAACGACATCTTGTTGTAGATATGTTTTCTGTTACAGTTCTTGCGATTTGGCCCATCTTGCAGCAGCTCCCACGGAGGTGGCCAGGTAATTCGGCCGTCAATTGCTCAGGCACCTGAAGTGAGCGTGCAAAGCCTCATATAGAAGCCTGAATCATTATGTGTACTTATACCAGTCATTTCTTGTTATGACTATACGAGAATGCACCCGAGAACCAAATTTTATGTGTTCAGGCCCCTATAGTCAACCCCTTCGTATTCATGGATCCCTGTACTAAGGATCTAACATTAGGGTTTATACTAGACATCGCCACGGAAGTATATCAATGGGAGTTTCAACAAAAAGGGGGCCACAGCGAGCATGACCCTTGCTCGTCGAAGGATCTCGAACTTGGTTGATCCCCTAAACCCTCAATCCTAAACCTTAAACCCAAAACTAAACCCTAAGCCCGAAACCATAAGCCCCAAACCCACAGGGTTGGTGAAAAGCAACTCCGGGTGCAGACCCTTCCGGGGAGTATCCTGGAAAAGGCCCCCGGGAAGAGCTATCCTTGCGGGGCCTTACTAAGTGGAAAAGAAATTGTAGTACTATTAGTACTGACCGTCATAAGAAAAACAATAGTAATAAGGCCAGTAAGAGCAATAATAGTAATAACAAAAAGAATAATAGTAGCAATATCCATAATAACGTAGGGATAGGGTCTTGGGGTGTGTCACAGTACAGTTCTATATGCGGATAATTTGTAGCGACCTCTATATGCCAGGCCCAGAAACCTTGAGGGTTTAGCAGCGGATGAAGGATGAGGGGTTTAGGGGTTCAGGGTTGCGGGGTTTCAGGATTTTCTCTAATTCCCTGACCCTGCTAGCTGAGCCCTAAACCCTAACCGAAACCCAAACCCTAAACCCTAAACCCTAAACCCTGAACCCTGAACCCCGAACCCTCAACCCTGAACCCTAACTTGTTCTAAGCCCTATTCGCGCGAGAGAAAGGTTGGAAAAGGAAATCTCGGCGCCTTTTTGCGATGGGGAGGATCTGAAGGCTCCAAGCTCGGTGCAGAACGATGTTGTTGAAATGGTTTAAAGTTTAGGGTTTAGGGTAAGGTTTCACTGTAGTGTTTCTGTGCGTGTGAGTGTGTGTTTTATTGTTTTTTGTTGGCTAGGGTTTTTGGGTGTAGAGTTTCGGGGTTGCGGTACAGTCGTTTAGGGCTTTCGGGTTGGGTGTTTAGGGCACAGGGCCTCACCAGCTATCATCTTATTCCGATAGAATCCCGAAAAATTGTAGAATATACCCACAGCCCCACGCCACTGCTTAACAGTTAAAAATTTAAAGGCTGCTACATGAGAGCTAGACCATGTAACCAAAACATAGCTCCTAGATTGTGCGTCGTGCATGGGTTCTCTTACATTTTGCTGGTTTGAAGGCTTTGGATATCGGGCTTAGACGTTGAGGTTTCGGGTCAAGGCTGTGAAGGCTGCGGAAGTAGGGTTTAGGCTTCGGGGCTTTACGGTTTTAGAGTTTGGGCTTCAGGTGTTTAAGGGTTTGTTTGGGTGGAAACCTTCTCTTGCTAACCCCAAGCTCAAGCCGGCTGTGCAGTTCGGGTGATACCTCGGTCTCACGGGTTTAGGCTTTAGGGCCGTTTCGGGGTTTCGGGAATTCGACCGGTGTATTTGAAAATACACTTGTCCACGTAAGCCCACAGATACAGTAAGAACCATATGCATGCACACCACCTCAGAGCCATGGCACCAAAGATTCCAGGCTCGATTAGATCATCGGATCTCTCCTCATACTCATCGGAACATGCGTCATACTGATGCCAGCTACGCCGCCGAACTACAACACACAAAAGCCCTACGACCAGAGGTGAGGCAATCCTCACTTGTAGACCTTACTGCTGGGCCGGGGCTCAATTCATTCTGTGCCGTACTACCTCAAGCCCTACTCTACACCTTTAACCAACCCCAATATATCACACCAAGCATTTCAAGCCTTTATGCTCGAGAGCCTTAAACCGTAAGCCCTCACACCAGTGAAAAGGTGACCTTAAACACAACCCTAAACCCTAAACCCCCACAAGGGCAAGAGCCTTAGATCTTACTTAATACCTCAGCCCCAAAAAAACCAAAACCTTAGTCCCTAAGCCCCAAATCCGAAACTCTAGACCCTCCGCCCTAAACCCGCATCCTAAGCCCTAAACCCCACAAGCCCTAAAGCCCCAAACCCTAAACCCTGAGCCCTTGTAGAGCCGCTGTAGAATCCTTATAGATCCCTTATAGACGCCTTATAGAGCCCCTATGGAACCCTTACAGAGCCCTTATAGAACCCTTATACAGCCCTTATAGAAACCTTATAGGTCCCTTTAAAGGAACCCTTGTAGATCACTTTTTTGAAAGTAACCCTTAAACCACAAACAGCAGCCCGAGGCCTCGCTGATTCGGGCGCGCTTGGCTGGCGCGCCGATGGAGCTGATCGAGCGAGGCCTAGACCTTTTGCAGGCTTTCGAGCTTCTGGAGAATTTAGGGTTTGGTTTGGGTTTAGGGGGTTTAGGGGGGCTTGGAGTACCCTAGTGAGGCTGCCAACGTGCAAGACACTCCTCACAGCCAACTCCTTTTCAATTTACTCACAGACTGTACATTAGGAGGAACGCTGAGTGAGAGTTGCATAGGGCCGCCCAAAAAAAAAGGGGATCTAGGGTTTGGGTTTCGAGTTAGGGAAGAGTTTTTTTGGTCGGGTTCCCGGAAGGGGGTTTAGGGCAATGGGGTGTTTAGGGTTTAGAGGAGGGACATCGTTCTGCTGTGGTGTACTTGAGGGGTTTTGGGGCTTTATGCTGTGGTTTCCGGGCTCTAGCGTTCAGTTCAGTGCTTCAGAGTTAGGGCTTTGGGTTCGGGTCACAGCTTTGGGGAGGGTTTAGGGTTGAGGGTTTCGCCCAAACTCACAACCCTGGATCCCAGTTCGTTCTCCTGTCCGAATGGACTTTCCTGGGGTTGCGAGACAGTGGCGGACAGGAAAAGAGGCGCCAAACAAAATCCTGAGGCTCCAGTTAAGCAGCTGTACCGGAATGTAGAGTTGAGGTCGGAGGATGTAGCAATAGTATTCCCGTATAGTCCCGGGTTTCGGGTCAAGGCCCTGACAGTCGTCCTTTTTTCAGCAATCTCTGCAGCTTGGTTTCGCCAGGTTTTGGCAAGCTGGAGAAGAAGTTCCCAGATCCCGGGCGGCCAGTTCCCTTAGGACAAATTGTGTTGCCCGAAGATTGGATGTGGTTCCACACGCAGAAGAATGAGACGAAGGGTTCTAGGAAGTTGAAGCTACGCAGAGACATGATGGGTACACTTTTGGGTAAGCTCTGTCTTGCAAAGTAGTCCAGCCGCATGCATCGCAAGATCCATAGATTCTTCGTGTGTTGTGGCTGGAGAAGTGCAAAAAGTCCATCCCAAATCGCGCCTGAACTTCGCAGACGAGACCAGGAATGGTTCAGCTACACCAAGACAGAGCTAGAGCTCCTTGTGGCCAAGCAGGCGCACTGTTTTTTCTGTCGCGTTGGCTATAAGTGAAGAGGGCACTGGGATCTCGAAGCCCGACACCCTCTGCCCTCAGCGGGTCCTGAATACCATAAGGATGTGGATGCTAAGTTTAAGTTTGACATCCCGTGCCAATGTACTCTCAGCCCCGGATGCTGGATCCTAACTCGTTTATCCGTCTGCAAGCAGATCTTTTTTACAAACCATCGGGTGTCAGCTAGGCTTCAGCGCAACACCCCAAGCCCCAAACCCTGAACAAAGTCCCAACTTCCAAGCGCCGGAAACCTCCAAACCCCAAACCCAAAAGACGCCTCGATCAGGAGTTCGAAATTTTTGCAGTAGATACAATACCATGTCTTTTAGTATCGCTAGTAGTAAACCACAAAGACACCCCAACAAAATCCTGAACCCGAAACTCTATGTCAACACCCCAAACCCCAAGCTTTAAATCCCAAAGCCCTACGTCCAACACCCCAAACCCTAAACCCTAAGTCCAAAACCCTGCTCCAGGAGGCGGATGATATCCAAGAGCTATCGGCAGAGGGCCGCTTCCTGCGACTGCAGGCGGCAAAGCCGCTGACCTTGGTCTTTTGGGAAGGGTTTAGGGAGTCTTGGTTTCGGGTTTAAGGTTTTGGGGTTTAGGGTTTAGGGTTTATGGGTTTCGGGTTTAGGGTTTAGGGGTTTAGGGTTTAGGTGGGTGCATTGTGTGTAGGGCTGGTGGTTGATGGCTCCGTTGCCGGATACATGGCAGCCATTTTTAAGGGGTGCTTCGGTGGAAGGCACCCAAATCCCCTGCGGATCTTGGAGCTCCTAAACACAAGGTAGAGCTCGCACCTCCATTCGCTACCACACACTGACAATCTGAACCCGAGACCCTAAACCCATCTCCCATCTAAACCCTAAGCCCCCAAAAAGGAGATATAACCCTCGAGTTTTTGTGTCAGGATGCAGCGGATGCTGCCAGAATGCTGCAGCCTCGGTTGGAGAAGAGCATTATCGAGGAGGTTGAGGCATCTGTGGATGGGGGTGGGTTTGGGGTTGAGGGTTTAGGGGTTCAGGGCTTGTTGTTGAGGGTTAGGGCTGGGGTGGGAGGTCAGCCATATCTTCCACTCGGCTATGCTTTGCATACCCACAGCCATTAGCGACAGCGTGCCGTGGCCATCATTGTTTTCGTCGTCATGTTCTTGTGGTTTGGAGTTGTATTCAAAAGTGCCTAGTTTCCGGGCGCTTAGAAGGTCAGGGATTCGTTTGGGTTCAGAAGAGAATGTCAAATGAATTTGGCCAGCCTCTGTCGTATACCCTTGATTCGCTTCCTTTTCCGCAGTTTCGAAGGACATTTCCATGGCGTTAGCGGCTGAGCGCTCCTTCGTGATGGCAGTGAAGGAAGCGAAGGACATCCTGGGAGGCGTGGGTCTCAGACGATGGGGTTTCTTCAACACTGGGGTACATACAAGGGTTCTTTCAATCAGGATCCTATTTCATCTAGTGGCCTGATAATAAAGTGTTTTTTTTGTTTTGGGGGGGGTCCTTACAATAAGGATCCTATACTTGGGGTTGTATTTTTTGAAAAAGCCATCCATACTCCTAGCCCTAGACCCTAAACCCTAAAGCGTACCATACTTGGCCTTTCTAAGCCATACTTCCGGTAGACTTTCCCAGAACTGTTCCAGGAAGACGGCTTCTCAATGCCCTTTGCAAATTTCGCAGTATGGGTGTAGCGCTTCTGTTGCAGAACATGTTCCTGTATATACAGTTTGCAGTGACCACAACAGTGCACTTTCCAATTAAGATTAAGATTACACACACTCCTCTTCATGTTGAGGTACCAACAAGAGGGATACCATAGTCGGAACAGCACTAGAGCCCCAGCAGAATGCAGCAACTTAGGACACTACCAACGAGGACAGAAACTATCTAGAACCAAACCCGAGAATCATTGTGCAGGAAATGTGCTGCTGCTAGTCGGCACACCACCACCACCACCACCACCACCACCACCACCACCACCACCACCACCACAACCACCACAGCCACCACAGCCACCACAGCCACCACAACCACCACAAACACCACAACCACCACAACCACCACAACCACCACAACCACCACAACCACCACTGCCGCCACGCCACCGCCACCGCCACCGCCACCGCCACCACGGCCACGGCCACCACCACCACCACTAGCCACCGCCGCCACCGGCACTACCACCACCGCCACCACAATTGGATGCACGGTGACTAATAATGACAATTATTGCTACTGCTACTGCGACTGCGACTACGACTACGGCTTCGACGATGACGATGACGACTCTACTTCAATGGCCACTGTGACTTCGGTCACCTCCGTGGAGAGTTCGACCATGACGACCACAATCTTAAATGCCAAGTGCTATCATCATCATCATCATCGTCATCATCGTCGTCATCATCACCACCATCATCAACATCATCTTCATCATCATCGGCAGTTTCATAACACCTGAAGCTGTCGCCATGAATAGAAACCCTAAACTCAGCGAATCTGCCCAGGCCTGCCCATGTCCCCGGAAGACGTGTCCTTGTCGGCCCTTCGTCTTGGCCACGCCATCCAGGCACCAATGGAGTCGTCGTTCTTTTCGTCGTCGTCGTCGTCGTAGTCGTCGTCGTCGTAGTCGTAATCGTAGTCGTAGAAGTAGTAGTAGTAGTAGTAGTAGCAGCAGCAGCAGCAGCAGGAGTAGTAGTAGTAGTAGTAGTAGTAGTAGCAGCAGGAGTAGTAGTTAGTTAGTTAGTTAGTTAGTTAGTTAGTTAGTTAGTTAGTTAGTTAGTAAGTAAGTAAGTAAGTAAGTAAGTAAGTAAGTAATAGTAGCAGTAGTAGCAGCAACTGCAGCAGAAGCAGGAAGAGTAGGAGTAGAAGTGGTAGTTGCAGAAGTAGTAGTTGCAACAGTAGCAGTAGCAGTAGCACTAGTATTTGTCGTCGTAGTAGACGTGGCAACGGCAGTAGTAGCAAAGCTGGTCTAAAGCTGATCATTCAATCCCGGCGTCCCTCTCCTCTGGAGAGCAGTCGGGGTAGACCCTGGATTGATGAACAACCTACCTCATTGAAGCCCCTACCTCAAACGGGCATTACATTCGGAATCCTCACATTGAGGCTCTTGAAGAGAGCGGGTTTGTCACTCAGAGGTTTACATTACGAATTATGCGCAAGACTTTTGAAATATTCATTCATGCCCGGGGATCTGTTGGGTTTCCCAGAGTTTCAGGCTGGCCCTAAACCCTAAACCCTAAGTTTTGTGTACACCGGCTTATAGGAAGCGTTGGCTCACGTAGTATTCAGAGTAAACAATCGTACTCTGCTTGCCACACTCGCATGTCCATCTGAACATTGTGGCATCCACAGTCTTCACAGGGAGAGCAATCTGTTCCGGCAGTCTGAAGTAACGATCGCAATCGTTGTGGGACGTGAAAGCGACTGGACAAGTCAAGATTCGGGAAGCAAGTGACAGGCCTGCGAGATGTCTGCACAGGAAGAGGCGAAGTGACTTGGCAATCTGCTTGAGAAGGGTTTTTTTGATCCAAGGGAGCTTAAACCCTAAAAACCCTCAACCCTAAAGCCTAAACCCTAAAGCCTGAACCCTAAACTGATTCGGAAGTGCTTTGGATGCTCGGTGCTGTGACGATTGTAGCCTTGCCTGGGGGCCCTCGCCTCATGTGACGGGCGATAGAGCCTCAGGAAACCAGCTAGATTCGGGTTTGGGCTGTTTTCTTTCGAGTGCTGCTGGGGCAGATGTGCCTCACATATGCGGTACAGGTGCTTCAACCTCAGCTGCCGGGAACCAATCGTCCCGAAAGCTCCATCCAAGGCATCCCACACATCCTGAGAGTTTGCCTCATAACAATCATCGTCAGTGCCGCCCTCGGCCTCCTTGTCCTCCTCGTCCTGCTCGTCCTGCTCCTCCTCCTCCTCCTCCGCCTCCGCCTCCTCCTCCTCATCGTCGTCGTCCTCGTCGAAATCTTTATGGTCATCATCATCATCATCATCATCATCATCATTTCCTTCTTCTTCTTCTTCATCATCATCATCATCATCATCATCACAAAGTCATCATCATCTTCAGCACCGTCACCAACATAGCTTCACCGAGCCATGTTGACACTGCCAGCGGGATGGTCACCAGTGCATCAGCTTTCATGGCGAACTGCCACAGATTTCACAGGGCCCCTGCTGTTTCTGCTGTCACTGACCGCAGTAGCAATGGTGCCGTCGTCGTCGTAAAAACAATATTAATAATAATAGTTCTTTTTATCGTTGTAGATCAGAAGTCATCGTCATCGTAGGAGTACAAGCAGCAGCAATAACAGTCAGAGGAGTCGGTACATGCAGCTACAAACCCAATCACACTAACTAATAGTGATGGTAAAGCAACATCAAGTGCAGCAGTAGCACAACTAACATTAAGAGTGTTAACAATACCAACAGCAAGAAAGTAGAGCTGATAGCCATCATTGAGAGAAGGGCTCATAAAGACGGAAGATTCAGATCAGTCAAGTGGCCGAGGAAGGGCATCGGGGAGGCCGAAGAGCTCAGAGTGCTCCTGGAGGAAGAAGGAGAAAGGCCCCGCCAAGGGGTTTCGGGTTTAGAAAAATTGGGATTCAGGGTTCTTAGGGTAGGCGGTGCAGTGTTTATGGCCGAGGATGTAGGGTTGGGACCCTAAACACGAGAGTCCTGACGCTGAATCCTAGAACCCGGCACCCGGCACCCTCAATGCTACACTCCCTACACAGAAGTGAGGCTTTCTGCACATGCACCTTCCAGCAGCAAAAGTTTTCGGACAGGGTTTGTTGGACCCCACTACGAGTCCAACGTACGCGTGATGTTGCAGAGGTTTGTATGGGCCTGGCAGAGGTTCCTGAACTTGAGATGGCAATATCCGACTTCTGCAAGACAGTTTTCGGGTCCCTCGTGGGTCGATCATGGGGGAGATATACTCAAAAGCGATACATCCTGTACCCGATGTCATCAACGTCTGGTTTTCGCCCTGCAAGGACCTTGCTAGTGTACGGTTTTCTGCTGGCTCAGCTAGGATTCAGGATTTCGGGTTAAACGGCTTTTCGTGTTTGTTTCGCACAGTGTCAGTGTACTGCCGACCAGAGATATGCTGCGCGACCAGTCAGACTCACACCCTGATTCCAGAGCTGGTCTGAAGTTGAAGTAACCAAAGACTTAACCCTAAACCCCAAGCCCTAAACCCTTCTAGCTGCCCACATCGAGCCATCAGCGAATCTAAGCTATGAAGGCGGCAGGAAGTGCTCCAGAACGCCATCGCCATCTCTGCTGAAAGGGGAAGGACCGGGCCGGACGACTCAGTTAGGGTTTAGGGCCTTTAGGGCTTTGGGGGTTTGGGGACGTTTAGGGATTGCTAGGACCACGACTTCTACTCCTGCTCCCTTTACTGAAGCTCTCTTGCTTGCCCCTGTTGCTCAGGCTGCTCAGGCTTATAGACGGATTGTCGCTGTTATGGATACAGTTGATTTAATGCGACTACGCTTTTGTATGGTGCTCGATATTGCTGGTATCCTGTTATACGTGTTTTCGTCGTTAACTGATGAAAAGTCCACTCTCCGTATAGTCAGGTATCGTCTTTTTGTTGTCAACGTTAAAGTACTGCTGCTGAAACTACTTGACTTCTCCCACTGCTTCTGCCACAACAGTAGCTATACTACTACCGCCACTACGACTGCTGCTACTGCTGTTGCTGTTGCTGCTGCCGAACTCCTACGAACGGCGACGACGACTGCTGCTACTACTACTACTACTACTACTACTACTACGATTATTGTTATTATTACGATTATTATTATTACTATCATTATTACTACCTACTACTACTACTACTACTACTACTACTACTACTACGACTACTACTACGACTACTACTACGACTACGACTACGACTACGACTACGACTACGACTACGACTACTACTACTTCTACTACTACTACTACTACTACTACTACTAGCCCGCTAGCCAGCTAGCCAGCCAGCTAGCCAGCTAACCAGCCAGCTAGCCAGATGGCTATGAAGAGTACTGCTATTGTG